TTAAAATTTTATTAAAAAAATTTAAAATTTAAAAAAAGTTGCAGGCAAATTTGGCTACAAAACAATTTAAGAGATAACTTCTTCATAATCAGAGTTATCTAAAGTCTCAAAAACCATATCACTATCAGGTTGCTCTCTAATTATGGCCTTTGTTTTCTTTTTAGTTTTTTTAGTTACAAATAAAGATTCTTTTTGAAGATTAATATCAATTAAATTAGAAATATCAGTTTGTGATATGCTACTGCCTCCTATTTAAGGATTAATAGAAGAAGAAATATTGGTTTGAGGTTCAGAATCTACTAATTCCTCACAAATTCTATATTTTTCAATATAAGCATCCCTTGTTCAAGGATTACAGAGTTCTCTTTCACCTTTGTATATTTTATATATACAGATAACCTTTTTTTGAGTTTTTGATGCAGGAATTTAATAAATACTTGATGACTCATTTTTAGTCTTTTAGGAGTTATGATGTTAGATATCAGGAGACAAGGCAGAGAAAAAGTCTTTAAATACAAAAATTTTTATTAATAAATTTTTTATTTACTATATCACTATAATTTTTTGCAACTAAATAGAGTATTTTGCATACACACAATAAAGCACTCTTTCAAAATTTAATAAATTTCTTTTTATGTTCCTTGGGCAGCATTATTTTATAATCACAAGATACATTTTAATTATAGATCTATTGATACAATTTATAAATTTTCTTTTTGCTAAAAAACTCATTTTGAACATAAAAATTTTTGTGATATCTACTGTATTTCTCATAAATCTCAGTGTTTACTACACATAGACTGAAATAGAAATATTAGTAACTAGTCTATCAAAACTAAAAAAGGAAATAGTATTAACCACAGTACGATTATATATATATCAAAAATGAACATAGTACATATAACAATATTTTACATATAAGAATTTAATCATAATAAGTAATAGAATGCTTATACATATAATAAGGTTTAACCAAAATAGGATAATAACAAAAATGAATATATCAAAAGACATATTAGACTCTTGGTAGCATGCTGATACTTATATTGAGAATCTGATTTCTATTATAATTAAAATGCAAACATAATGAACTTATAAATTATATAGCTGTATTTATATTTTTATTATTAATTAATAATAGTATAATTAATTAATAAATTCAATTGGTCTAGTTATTAGTAATAGTATCTCGATATTTATTTCAAATCAAATAAATCAAATTTGATTGAATTAATAAATATCTTATAAATAAAATATCTAATATCAATAATATAATTATTGATCTATTAGAATTTTAATAA